CACAGATCTGTTGGTTCTTTTGACAGCCCATGGCACTTTCAATATTCTCCTCCAACACCATAACTCAAAAGCATCAATTCTTCTACGGTCTTCCTAATTCACTGTCCAGCTTTCACATACGAGCCTATTGAAAATAATCTCTTTCCATACATTCTCGAATATATACAAATGAGATCAGGAAGTACAGTAACACTGCTTTGTAAGTTGCTCTGTTGTATCATCGGCAAGCTTCAACTTTTCATCAATGCATTTTTGTCTCATCTAAAACCCAGATCACACATTTAGAGTTCCCTTGAGCAGTCCCAAAGTCTTTTTTATAGATGGTTTCTCCAACAAAGCATCCCACCCAAGACCAGCTGTGGCATCTGGTAGTTTGGCCCCTTAGAGGTTTGTCATTGGCAGTGTCCTTTGTGTTTTTCTTGAACGTGATGACAGTAGGTTTTGAAGAGGCCTGCCCTGCTGTCGTACTGCAGAACGTCTGTCTTCTGAATTTGTATGGTTGTTTCTGTAGGGTACCATTCATTCACCCACTCACTGGGTAACCTTCACATACAGTAAAACGCATATAGCTTCACGGTACAGCGCTGGGAGTTTTGATGAATGTCTAGAGGCTTCTCTCCTCGTTTTATTGCACTTTTACTATGTTGTACCTCACAGATGTTTCAGTTTGTACAAATTGAAGGTTTGCGGCAGTCTGGCTTCGAACAACTCTCATAGCATCGTTTTGCCAATAGCACGTGCTCCCTTCTCAGACTTTCTCATCATACTACTGTTGCATACTTCATAGACTAAAGGAGCTCTGGTAGCGTAGTGGTTACGAATCGGGCTGTGAACTTTAAGGGGAGCGGTTCGAGACTACCAGCTGCTCCATGGGAGAAAGATGAGGCTTTCTACTCCCGTAAAGATTTACAGCCTCGGAAACCCTGTACAGGGTCGCTATGGGTCGGAACCGACTCGACGGCACTTAACAACAACAACAAAGTGTAAACATCACTCCTCTGCAACGGGAAACCCAAGCAATCCACGTGACTCGTTTTCTTGCAGTACTTGCTTTGGACTGGAACTGAACCTACAATATTTCTGAGGTTGGGCTGTATGATTTTTTTTTTTAAGTGCATGAGACCACAACTCTCTCTCTCTCTCACTCTCTCTCTGTATATATATATATAAACGTACGTGAGAGAATGAAAAAAACATCAAAGTGAGTGGAGAGGCATACTGCAGTCACGAATTGCAATTGTTATTGTTAAGTGCTGTGGAGTTGCTACTGAGGCATAACAACCCTATATAGGGTTTCCAAGGAGTATCTGGTGGGTTTGAACCACTGGCCTTGTGGTTAGCCATCCAGTACTTCTCTTACAGCGCCATACCAGGAGTCCTCATTCATGGATTAAAGGCTCCATATTATTTAAATGCAATTCTCCAAAAATTGATCTATAAATTCAACCCAATCTCAGTGAAAATCCCAACAGATTTTGGTGAAGAGTCCTGTGTTGGTTTTACATGAATGTACATGAAGGTGCAGGAGGACCTAGGTACCCCACGGCACAAACAGCCGCTGCAGAGGGCTAGGGAAGATGCCCATCACCCCTGGGGTTCTGCCTCCCTCAGAGACTCAAGAGCAATTGTCTGAGTATCTGCCCTCCTGCGCTACTTTTACTTGATTTGGGGACTTCATATGAGTGAAAACCATGGAGCAGCTAGTGGGTTTGAACAGTCGACCTTTCAATTAATAACCTTGCATTTATTCTTTACCTCTGCTTCTCCAAGAATTTTTATAGATGCTAAGATACCTTGTATGTTTTTATGCTTTTTTTTTTTAATCTATAATTTTGAATTGATGTTTGTGTGTGATGCGAGGTAGGAATTGTTGTTGTTGTTAAGTATCATCGAGTTGGTTCTGACTCATAGCGACCCTGTATAGGGTTTCCAAGGAGTGGCTGGTGAGCTTGAACCACCAACCTTGAAGTTCAAACTGACCTCTCAGTCTAGCGCATTAGCCACAGCACCACACCAGGATGAGGTTCACTTTTTTCCTTCCTATCCAGTTATGTAAAATCCGGAAAGGTGTGCACCAGGGTTGTGTTCTTTCACCATACTTATTCAGTCTGTATGGTGGTCAAATAATCTGAGGAGCTGCATTATATGAAGAAAAACATGGCATCAGGACTGGAAGACTCATTAACAACCTTCAATATGCAGATGATACAACCTTGCTTGCTGGAAGTGAAGAGGACTTAAATACTTACTCATAAAGATTGAAGAGCTGGTATGGATAGCAATGTAAAGAAAACAAAAATTCTCACCACGGACCAATCAATAGCATTGTGGTAAATGGAGAAAAGA